AGAGAACATGCACGAAAAAATCATTTCTCGTACTTGTTTGATAAAAAATTACGCCTTCTTTAAGATTTATACTCAAAAAAGGTAACTTTCGCTTTAAAAAAAGTTGCTCAATTGCCGAACCATTTTCTAACCTAGTGACTGCTACACTCGACTTCAAGGTTTAAAAACTGCGCACTGTGTACATCCTGTTTAAGGAAAAGTACTTTTTCGCCTACAGTTTGAGGAAGAAGTCACATAATTGTCATAAATTATTGAAATAGATGTAGAATATATCTTATGCAGTATAGGCAACATTAATAAATTGACGGATACGATCTACAGGGTGTCCACAAAGTCTGGGTACATAGGAATTTTAATAAGAGAGAACGCATTATCAGTCAGTGTGCTGAAATCGACGGCAATGTACACCTATTCAATCGAGTTAATCAGAATTTAGCAAGGCGCGTCGAATTATGCATTGCAAATAAGGGAAATCATATTTAAATATAATTTCTTCACATTATAATTAAATAAAATTGTTTTGTTCTAAAGGTATGTATTTATCCCCTATGTACCCAGACTTCGTGGACACCCTGTATTATGAATAAACACCCCACATTTGTAAAAAGTTTCATAAGAAGCAACCTTTTAAAACCGAAAGCTACCCTTTCTTTGAGTATAAAATTTAAAGAAGGCGTAATTTGCTATCAAACATGTACAAGAAATAATTTTTTCATCCATGTTTTCTATAAAATATATTTGAATTTAATATCGAAAAAGTACAAAAATAATTTTCTCGTGCATGTTTTCCATAAAATATATTTGAAAAGTACAAGAAATAATTTGTTCGTGCATTTTTTTCATAAAATATATTTGAATTTATAAAGACAGTCACAATAAAGGATAAAAGGGCATACTACTTAAGTATTCAGTTTTTACAATAGATACGTTCTGCTAGCGGTCAGAACGAATCCCGTTAAAGTGCTTGCATTCTATCATGACCGAAATGACTTCAGAATAGACTACATGATAATCAGTTTCACAACTTAAGTCAATCTTTCGCATGTGTCGACATGTTGCGTGATCTTTGGCGACTACTGTAGAGTCAACCTGTCTAATTTTATTACTACCAAAACAGAGGACGCAAATTCTTTTGTATAGAAGCCCAACCGAGTAAGGTTTTTGCAAGGCCCCCACTGTATCTTCAGTGATGGAGCTTTGTTCGTAAGCTTAAAAACGGAGCTAACTACAGAGGTCAAGAAAAGCATTTTCCTCCCAAAGAAAACAGCCAGATGAACGTGTTCGACTGCATCAGAGTTGAATTATCAAAATAGCCTTTAGAACAGAAATCACGTACTTCTGCTGGTATCCTTCCAGCGGCAACTGGAAACGGCTGTGTAAGCTGAAATGCCTGCTGACTTTCCGTACTTCCGGCCATAATGGGTGTCCAGTCCGAATACTTTGCATACTGTCCCAAACGTACAGCTTCTTCACACGAAGGCATTGTGATGATGCCTGTCCTGTCATTTGGTACGGCCACTACGCCCCGTCTATAGGTGTCGTATCGTACGGGACAATCCACGACTGATAACACAGTGGCCTAAGAAATAAAAAAATTTAGAAAAAAGTCATCTTAGCAACTTTTACTTAAAATTACAGCAAGGAAATAATGCGCAGGAAAGGGGTGGCTTGCTTTTAGACCACCTAGCAACGAAATGACGCCACTCATGCAAAAAGCTTTTAATTTTTCACCAAACACTCCGCGCCGCCTTTCAGTCCAAAAGGCTTTTTGATGAAGGGTTTCAAACATGCGAGGACTACTTATAAAAAGACAGAAATTTATCTTAAAGCCAGGCACGCAGAGCAACTTTTTCTTCCTGCAAGACGCATAGAGTGAAAAGGTTTTTAGAAAGTCCGAAAGTCTCCCAGGGCGATATTCGTTGACTTCAACAGCGATAATCGGCCTCCTCACATTTAGTTTGCTGAAGGCCATGATATCCCAACAAGTGGATTTATAAAATCGTGCTACTTTTAAGTACCAGTTTCTCTAGGAAACCGAAGACAGTTGCGTAGGTACGACGAAATCTTAAATAACCCAGAAAATTTAAAATACAGTACTAGTTGTAAGAGCGCATATACATTAAGTACAAAATTATTTTCCAGAAATTTCGTGACAGTCGTTTTTGCGCAGCAGTCTTGGCAAGGGCAACAACCACAAAAAATGAGTTTCTCGAGTGTATTTCTGCCGAAGGGTGCAGCCTGTTACGTTTCTTAATGATAAGCATCTATCTTTCACAGGAACCAGAAAATTCCAGCAGCAGAGATCCCCAACGAAGAAAAACAAGGTCACTGAAATTACAAGTATCGTTTTGCTGCTGGTATCCTTGAAACGTGACCTTAATCCCTGCAGCCCGCGGCCAACAGGCTTAATGCCTTCGGATCAGGGTGGTTTAAGACAGAGTGGTTAAACTGCATTTCCTGCAAGAAGGCCTCTGCTTTCGCCAAACTACCGGGCGGTATGTTGCGCGTGAAACGATTTTCAAAGTGCAAACTGTTGCTAAAGACTGCTTTTTAGACACCCATTAAAAAACAAAATACTAACCGCAAATTTCCGGAATTTTTGAAAGTGTGGCACCAATAGAAGAAAGCCAAGCTGCACATTGTTAATCTTACAACGGAACATTGTGGGAAAAATGCCTGCGAAAATGGAACTTTACGATCACAGCTAAGGGTTTCCGAATGAAAAACGAAGAACTTACTTAATGCAGAATTCTGTTCTTATTTTATCCCACGCATCCATACTTTCATTACTTTACGTTAATTATGGTTTTAAAATGGGAAGGGCGATTTAGGGAGGAGTTTGCTTATCGAATCCTCCTTTAAATCTCAAAATTTTATAGTATGTAGGTCGGCAAACATATTTTAGTAAAATAAGTTTCTGACATTAAGTTAAACTATTGCATCGATTTTCTCCATCTTTAGGTAGAACAATTTTTATTTTAGTAAAAAAAGGATACTATTACTGTAAATATGCTTAACAATTTGTTGCCAATAAATATAAGTGCCTCAGATATCACTGTCGAGGACTAGAGCACAATGTTACGGAAATTGAAGTTTAGAACCGAGCACTGTCATGAAATACTTTTACAGATATCCATTTCATACGGCTAAAACGTTTATAATGAAAAGCACATAACTATCCATTGAGTGATGCTTCGAATGTCCTTGATGACTATGCCCACCGTGAACATTACCGACAAAGGCAATGGAGACTGGGATGGACATTTCTGGCTTATTAACCGCCATCAACCAGTTATACATAACACAACTTACTGCAACATTCGAGACTCCAACCCAGGAATGGTTGAGTGGAAGTCCAACGCTCTAACCATTGAAACAAGGGGTCGTCATCTTACCATTTCAGATCGGGAATATTGAAAATGGCAGAAAAGGACAAGTGAATTCAGTAACCGATTTTTGAAAGTTCATTCGCCGATGTCCATCAATTTCCCGACAGCAGGGTCCTCGCAGGGACCGTGACCTGCGTGGGCGTTAGTTTATATTGCTTGTAGTATTGCAATGCATATCCGCCTCATGCATCCTAACCTACGTAAACCCAACGTCGTGACAAACTGAAAAACGCCATAGGCGGGATTCGACGTAAACTTCTGGCGGGCGTCAGCCTGCAGATACGTGATTTAAAGTTCACCAAAAAGCTGCAGTTAAGCAACCCGAAATAACGGGCACAATTTAAGAGATGGCAAACCCATACTATTGCATTACTTAATATCACTCAACGTTATCGTAAGACAGGTTATTCGGCTGTGGACTACTTCGTTTCTGTATTTGTAGCTGCTGGTTGTCTCAGGAATAGCAGGCATGTATGTTAACGCTTTCAATTTTTTCAGAAAACCGTTTGTAATAAAGTCTGAGCCATAATTCACAGCTGTGTGGTAATTACTCAGTTGGAAGTGTATTTGCTGTGGTTACTTTTCTCGTGCAGAGAAAATTCTCTTGGCAATCAAAATTTCACTAAATATCAAAACGATTATTTATCATGGGTAGAGTCAAGGGTATCTGCTGTTAGTCTGATGCATACTTCATGGCTAGTTTAATATACAAATAAGGTTGAGCAGCGTGGTAAATAACTCTACCGAAAGTGGTGAGACAGTATTTCGTCTGTACCCTAAGAATGAGTGCTTCCTCGGCTGTTCGAGGACGGCAAGACCACAATTTCAATAAGCCTGCATGTTTTTATGAAATAAATTCTACCGTATCTTAATATACACAAACCTTTCTCACCTTGGGTTTCCAGTATTTGCGGGCAAAGTCAATCAGCTCTTCATTCCACAAAATCATTGGGAAGTCAGAACAGGTTTCGTCAATTAGTGTTACTTCGCATTTTTGGGTCAAGATTTGGAAAGACCTATTGTCACCTTCAGAAAATGAGGTTGTCCCCGGACTATCGATATCCCTCCTGGTGTTTTTTGGTGGACGGTTGAGCATAACCGCCTTTGGGATGCCAACGTCAACAACTGCCGCAAGGAAGTTAAACAGGAAGACGGATTCGCGTCCCACAGTATTTTGTGGTAGCTGGGATGTGGAAATGGCAGTGGTGTGTATGTGTTGGATGATTCCCTTTAAAGGTACGTGATACTCCACTGGGCATAATAATTCGGTCTAAGAGTATAAAAAATCAGACTGCTAGAAACATTTCAGTAGCCAATAATATTCAGCAAATAAACGCGAGACTATTTGAAAATGGACATCTCAGAAAATTCAAAATTTCTACGGTCGAATAAAATGTCAGTGTCGTAGTAGCAACTGCGCTTGAATGAGTCTCAAACAAGAGGAGGCGCCTGATAGACCATGTGTGACGCAAAAAGACGGAAAGCTAAACAAATGTCCTCGTTGTCGGCGTACTGTCAAATAAAGTTGGTAAAACACTAACACACCCCATGTGTCGAGTCCAACGTCGAGTCGAAAATGTAATACTTATCACTAGGATTTTTAGGGATCAAAGGAATCATTGAAGGGACAATCTCAACAACTATTTGCCAAGGCAGCGAAGGCATAATCCACAGGTAATATGTTTCTAGTCGGTTCCATCGGTCCTTTTTTTCCTTGGCACGTAACTAAGCCTAAATTGTTGTTTGGAGTATGGATATCTGCAACTTTAAACTCTTAATATGAAAATAACGAGCCCTTTTTGTCCGCCAAATCCAACAGGTGCCCTCTTTTCTAAAGTTAAATTGAGTGGACGAGTGCCCAATGAAATTTACGGAAATCAAGGTTGTATGCCATGTATTATAGAGGAATTCCGTAGGTTTGCTAATGGTAGTCCTTTCAAGTAAGTACGATGGAGATTCCGCGCCCCTATCCCAAGTCTTACCATGCTGCCTATGCCGATCATGGTTATTAAATTTTAGCCAAACTGTACTAACAATTGTTTAAATATTAGTAAGGCTTACGGCCAACATCCCTACTCCAAATCCTTAAGAGATCTGACTTTTCTGTTACTGTAGATTTCGTACTCATATTAAATTCTTTATCTTAGTGCAGCACAACTATTGCTTTGATTCATACGAACAGTATAACGGTTTTTAGATTAGGCCAGGTAAAATAGGACCTGGTCTAGATTTACCGCTGTATTCTATACAGTGGTCAAACCCCATTTCGTGGAGCCTATGGTCTGTAAGTTATAATATCGGTTGGTACTTAAAATTACACCGCAAATCAAAAGACCTGCCCCAATCCTGAATGTGTGAGAGACTGGATACACTATTTTGACCAGGATTAGATCCTCAGTAGCGCAGTCAGCAACTACACTTGCTTATTATCATCAAAATGCAATACTCGGACCGTTATGTATGACGCAATGTTTTAATTCTGTATAAAACGTTCATCAACGAAAAGCTGCTGAACTCAAACCCATAACAAAGAGTATGATCGGCTTGTGAAAGGCAAATGTTTCTGCTAAATACGTAGTCGAAGTTCATCCTGTTGAACGTCCTCCTAGAGTCAAAAATATTTAGCATGTAGGTTCTAAATGTACACTACTCTAAATTTAAAACCTACATGCCTAAATTTATGCGAACCAATTGGTTCGCAAAAATTATTACAAAGCCCATTTAACTTCTACATTCATTCACCACTTAAAAGTAATTATTCTGAAATAAAAGCTGACGACCAAACTAAGAAGTATTGATTACGTTTGTAAGATGTAAGTGAAGTACCCTAAACCGGAGGAAGATACTAGCAGTAAAAGACAAATTAAAGAAACTGATAGAAGTTTCTTCGAGATAAAGACACTTAAACACCTACTTTGGTTGTTATCATTTTAAGACACGGCCTATTAATATAAATATCAAAGTATTATCTGAAAAAAAAATATTGATGACCTAAGTCTAATTATTAATTTACTTGTGCTGACACATTTTATTTCGGAGAAAAACTGAATTATTTTTCAAGAGGTATTGTTAACTAGACGCAGGGCAAACTGCTATGACCGCCTGACAGTTGTACTTATCAGTATAGCAAAAGATATCTCATAAACAACTGAAAATTTAACGGAAATTCTTTACCCGAAGGCGATTTATTTGAGTCTTGTTATCACAGTTGTAAGGAACGATGTGTGAACTTCCTTCAAAAAGCACGATTGTGTACTTTGTAGGAGTCTGAAACATATGCGTCTCTTCGTATGACCCTTTCTCTTTTTCTCGAACCTGCCCCTGCAATATTAAGACAACGTCGCCTTGTAATACTCAGAATAATAGGATTATTACCAAGCGAAAAACTCGCTGCGGTTTCACCAACAGTCCTAAACGAACCCCACACGGAAACATTTATCCACTCAGACACATTATCCCTTAGAACGAACGAAAATACTCCGCGACAAGCCTGTTGACCGTCTTTACTTTCGACTTTTCTTACGCGCGTTTTATGCAGCACAATTCCCAAAAGATTTATTTTTTGCCCAGGGCGATGGATGCTAGAAACTGTTGAAACCTCTTGATCAACAGAAACCCGGGACTTCTGTACAAAACTCATTGCGCGTTATCAGGTGGAGCATTCAAATAATGAACAACTTATCGATTTAAAGTTCAGGCCAGGTTATTAATTCATTTAATGTTATTTATGACCTATTGGTATTAACGACTTTCTAATTTTCATTTATCATGCATTTGGGTTTACGTGTATCATATCCATACGTGTGATTGTATTACTTGGAACAAATGAGTCTTCGCCTATAATTATGTAAACGACCTTTGAAGTGTTCGGCTGTGCCGATGCATTTCTAAACTACTGTGTACCAATAGGGAGTTCAAAGGCGTTGCTTATATTTCCCTTAATAAAAGTGATTTGACCTGGGATTATCTTGAGATTTTGATACATACAGTATATTTCTATGTGCATATCCGAACCAATAAATCCGTGGTAGTGAAGGGAATGAGAGCAAGCGTGGCCTGATGGGTATGGATTACATAACAGGCCTGCGCGAAAACACCGACCAGGCGATGTCGTTCACTGTTGAAAATTGACACTTCAATGGGCAAATTAATGTGGACTTCAAAATATGTATAATTCAGATTTGACCAGAGAAACAGTCCTGTCTCAAAAGGTGGTGTTTATATCAGTCGTCCTAATAAAATTTTCCCTGTAGTTTATCAAGCGATAACTCTGTATTTATATTCTCTAAGTTCATTTGCAGTGTTACTTAGCTTCCTCCTTGCTGTTAATGGTAATGTTGTATCCCTTTGGGAAGACGGAAGTGAAGGAAAGCGTGTTCGAGAACAAGCGTTTTAGTGTCAGCCTACAAATGAGAGCTTCCTCATCTGCAAATATCCCCTAACTTATTCGATGTTCTGAGCATTCCAAATCATTCTGGCCTTTGACGCGACATTGGTGAAGCGGATTCTAGAACATCTCGACCTGAGATTTATCAGTCGCCGGTTGGTCGTTTTTTGCGCGAGAACTTCCTTGCAGAACATGCTTAAATGCTCTATCACTGAAAAAGTGGGCCACTTGTATGAGCGAAGTCATCACAAGTGGTCGGTGCTGCCGTATGCGCTCTTTGGGTGATTGATTTAACGCGTGCAATCCGCAGCTGGCTTCTTCTGTTGCTACGGGCGTCGGTTTATTTTCCTATCATTTCACGCTGTGATTCCTCACCATCTTCGTTCTCGGTATCACCGCTGGCTTTTACCGATGTCAGTGATGTCTGCCTTCGGCTCCTGCGGACGGCAGGTGCTGTTGACTGACTGCCACTTCTAAGTCCAGTTTAGTTCAGTTTATTGAGATACACAGACATGAACCTCTCAGCATCATATTTGTAACGTTAGCTGTAGGCTGCAAGCGTTCAAAGGCCACTACCAAGAGCACATTGTTGGCGAGAACTTCAATAATTCATTAAAGTTCCCGTATGGCTCCGGTTCATTTTCGAGCATATATCTGTGAAGATTTTTATTGCTTTCAAGAGATGATGACATCGCAACATCTACGGGTAGCACGTTCCATGACTTCATCACACTGACAGAGAAGAAGAACCTCTGCAGATAAAGTCCTGCCTGTCGAGCACAGCTCAAATTGGTAAGCTAGGAGTCTCGTCATGGAATCAAATTCAGCATGCCACCACTGCTTTACAAATAGACCTTATTATTATTAAAATATCTCCCAACGCCAGAAAACAACACCCTCTCTACACCATCCGGATGTTCTGTAGGAGATGCCTCGAATTTGCATATAACTGAGAAGGAACATATTTATGTTTTTAAACAGGAAGCATATTCTAAAGGGCTTTGACTCCTAACAATTTTGGTGGCTTTCCTTAAACTATTTTGTGAATAATGTAATTTTGACCTTTTCAAGGTTGCTCTGTGTGTATAGTGAAATCCAACTGCAACCTCGCGAATGTTCCGAAAATCTTGTGGAAGAAATTTTCATCGAAACCAACGAAGGCTCTCATGACGGCGACCAACGCGGACACTGCACTTTTCGCTACTCTGAAC